TGTGTAGTTGTGTGTGCTGTGCACATCTGGGTGATACTTGGACTGTCCCTTTTCGTTTAAATCAGTGTGTCAGACTGAGATGTTACGATGAGAGTCGACGGAGATGTTTGGAAGATGAACATCTCGCTGCAAAATCCTGCTAACACCAGCTTTTCATTACAGTTAGCTTTACATTAGGTGGTCAGGATGGTTGATCAGATGGACTAACACCTAGTTTTAGCCTGGTAGACCAAGCTGGTCAAAGGTGGTTAGAGTTGGTAGACCAGCTTGGATCAGCAAGAAGCCAGCTTGACCATCTTAAAGTCAGCATGAAGTGGAGCAAGATATGTAAATATTATACAAATTAATAAATTATTTTTTAAAAATGTAAACAATATCACATATAAACTTATTTTAATATAAAAAAAGTAAAATAAAATAAAATATAAAATAATAGTAATAAAATAAATGTTATAGTCAATATAATTTATAATATATTATTATTTATTATATATTATATTGTTTTTGTATTATTATTATTATTATATAAAAATGGTATTCAATATAAAATATTATTAAGTATGGGGTTGGTAAAATTTTTAATCATTTTAAAAGAAGTCTCTTATTTTCACCAAGGCTGTATTTTTTTGATCAAATATATTTAAAAACATTTTAATAATCATTTTAATAATAATATTTTTTGTGGAAACTGTAATCTCATTTGTAATATGCTAAATTTATTTACTGCCAATTTCAATCAATTTAATGCGTCCTTGCTGAAGAATAAGAAAAGTATTAATTTCTTTAAAATAATCTTTCAGTTTTTAAAATATTCAGTTTTTAAAATATTCTGTATATACAGGATATTTTAAAAACGGAATTGGCTTTGAATTTGTAAATAAAGGATTTTTACAAAAAAGTTTAAATTATGTTAAATATATTTAAATTGTTATTATTAAAACAAAGTACAATTATGAAATGATTATAAAAATGTATTATTTAAAAAATATATAAATCTAAAAGTATTTTTTTACAAAATGTTTGCGATTATATTAAATGTCATATATAAATTACCAATGAAACAAAGGAAGATTATGAAACTACTATAACAAATTATTTAAAATAATAATTGGCTTTGAATTGGTACATAATGGATTTTTATAGTTCACTAATGTGAAACAATATTCAAAGAGGTCAAATGTAGTATGGGACTTTTATTTGTTTGTTTGTTGCATCCAGAAAAAGACCAAACGCTCAGTGAATTCAGAGTTTGCCCTTGCTCAGGGAGTTTCCTGTAGCCACGCAGCCCTCGACCAATCACTGAGCATGATTAGGCAGCGTGCCGCGGCTCCTGTCCCTTCGCTGGGCGCTCCTCTTGGCCAGCGCTAATGATACTCCTGACCTCCGACCCCATGATCTGCCCTGCGCCTCCGGCCACATCCTCAGAGACGAGCAGAACAAGCCGAAGCAGAGCCAGAACCATCTCTGAGCCAACAGACCTCCTCTGACGATAGCCGACGGGAGCGCGGGGACGAGATGGGATGAGACAGCGAGCGCTGCTGTGGGACAGATCTCGCTTCGAGGAGTTTTTAACTACGCCAAACCCGTCGCCACAGTAACCGCACAGATGGGATGAGAGGAGAATGACGGACTGTACCTGTGTTTATTTTTCCGAGCAGATTTTGTTCTCATTTCTTTGTTGTTTTTAGACTTTTAGGGTGCTTTCACACCTGGCCCGTTGTTTCGGAACCTGGTGCATTTACCCCTTAGCTTGGTTCGTTTGGGCATATGTGAACATGGTAATCGCGCTCGGATCCACGCCAAAACAATCGATCCGAGATCGCCTGAACGAGGTGGTCTCGGCTCGATTGAAAACGAACTCTGGAGCGGTTCGGTTGTAGTGCAACCGAACTAACGAACCAACGAATCAGGCTATATCACAATGTTTTATGGGTAATTACATAAGATTCGTGAAAAGCATTAGCTTTGTTGTTTTGCTGATACTTCAAAATGAACCTGTGAATGTCTGTGGGTGAGCACGTCTTCGCCATTCAAAATCAAAGTGCACTTTTTCATTTTATAATGCCGTCTTATTGCTCTTCTTCGTAGTAGGTGCATTTTAAAAATGTTTTCCCAATCAATCCTGGACTCCTGCTTAAAATGATAAATTAATATAATGACATCTACAAAAAAAATTAAAAATAAGCCCGTGAAGCTGTTGTCGTTCCATCCTGATGGATGACATGCGTGACAGCTCAGTGGAATCCCGGAAAATAAACCGTGGAACTTTGACCAATGAGAGGACAGTTTACTCTCGCGTGACTTGTATTAACAAATCTGGTCCGTTTAGAAACATTGCCGTATGAAAGCGAACCGCACCCAGAATAAAAAGCAACATTTTAATCATTTGAATCCCTGGTTCGGAACAAAGCAATCGATCTACAGGTGTGAGAACGTAATTGTGGTGCATCACTGGGGATGGAAATTGTAATAGCAGTACTGCTTCTAGGGCTGGGTGATATGGTCAAAAAAATTATCACGATACAATTTTTAATATCGGTAATTATCACGATAAATTTCAAATGTTTATTTCTTTCACGTTTAAAGGCAGATTTTTGCTCCTAAGTGAAAGTTGTAGAAGCCAGACCGTTAATTTTGGTTTTAAACTACTCTTTATGGTCAGAACATGACAAACACGTCACGCTTTTGAATTCTTTACACTTTTCCAGTCATTTCTCCTTAACAAAATTAATTAATTTCTTAGGATCCGCATGACCTAATAAGTGATAAATCCAAGTGTTCCTGACTTTGATTATGCGTATCTTCAGCACAGTTTGTAGTGCAGGCTGCAATATTAAAAATATTTATTTATTATTATTATTTTGTCTCTTAGGAATGCACATTTGACAGTAGCTTGAGTTGACAGTAGAAGTAGCTTGAGTTAGGATGCAGATGTAAATTTATGTTCATTATCACAAACAGTAACATCTGTAAAAATGTATTCTGACTGTTGAGTTTTATTAAAATGAACCATTGGTCTTCCATTGTAGCATACATTTAGATCATGATAACCAGAGTTAAAACCACACATATAGCACCTCAATAATACCATGGTAAAAATGTTGCTTTCTAAGTATTTCTATGAAAACAGTAGTCTAAATACATTTAGTATAAATGCACAAATGTTACAGCTTAATCACAAAAATATATTTTATTATATTATATTACTCCTTTAATACATGTCTACATTAATAATATAGGGGGGTGGGGGTGCGGCAGAGGGGCCCGAGCGCCTGCCCCTTTAAACACCGACGCTATAAAGTGCCCTTTCGTTAATTATTCACCCTCATGTTGTTTCAAACCTGTGAGGCTTTCTTTCTTCTGCAGAACACAAAAGATGATGTTGAGGTGAGGTGATGATGTGAAATATATGAGGACAGGCTAAACTGTGTCTTCAAGACTCATACAATTATAATGCATAACAAAGAAAGCAATGCAGAAGCCACTCAGAAGCATTATATAAATCTCACCCCCATCATTTTTTCCCACTTCACTTTGGTAATAACTCTCAAACTCCTCCACTATTCATATCATCTAAGAGACCATTAGATACAAAGATACAAATTAAGACGTAACCGACTGTGTTTACATGGATACTCGTCAAGACAGCCATTCTTACATCATTTTGTGTGTGTTTGCTCAAGAAGGCACGAAAGAAAACTCTATTTGAAATTTGCAAGCTGTATGAGCTGCGTCTTTGGTTGGTATGGTTTTAGTGTCTTTTTCTTTATCAAACCCGATAAGAACCAGTTTAAGATGAACCAGGAAAGAATAGAGAAGCTGAAATAAAAAAATAACAAAAAATATTTGATATATAATTATTTTATTATATATGTAAATAAATAAATAAAAAGAATGTGACGGTGTTGTTAATGTTTTTTAAAAATGAATATATATATATATATATAATATATAAAGCAATTAAAAAAAACTAAAACAAATAAACAAATTAGAAATGCTGTCTTAGGAACTAAACTAAATAAATTAAAGCTAATTAAAAATATAAAAATATCTAATAAAAATGACATAAAAACACATAACAAAATTACTGACATTTAACTCAAATTTTAAATATATAAAAATAATAGTTAAAATAAAATAAAAAATATTAATAAATAGTATAATATATATAGACAAAAAAATGTAAGCCAAAACTGTATCTACTTTACTGTATCTATAAAGCAGTATGAAGGTATCAATAGAAGGTACATTTTCTTGTCTAATTATAAATATTTTTTTATTAATGCATTTATTTTTATATTATTTTTATATTAAAGTTACTTTTTATCTTTGGGACATTTGTTCATTTTGGTAATACCTGCACATGATTTTGTTTTCTGTTTGGTCTTCTTTTTTGCAGCAGTTTGCATCTGAATTATGATTTGTCGTCTTCTATCTTTTTTCAATCATTTACAACCACATATACACCGTAAAGTCATGTTTTCTGTTGGCTGTGCATGAGAATATAAATACAAGAAGCTGTTACCATGAATCTGATGTGGCATTTAAAAAGTCTAAAAACCGAAACTGAATTAACACGCATTACGCTCTCAGGTATTACGCCATAAATTCAAAAGTTGATTCCATAACTTGCATTACTTCTAACTCAGTCTGTCTCCCTACATCTAAACCTGAACGTGGGTTGTGTCACAAACCTCCTGTAACGTGTTGTTTATAGAGCAGAGAGGCGGACAGCACTGACGTCTATGAAGGGTTTCCACATCGCCACCTACTCCTCTGAAGACACTTTCTGTCATTCTGTCTCTCCCACATGCTCCCGCTCTTCCTCTCCGGCAGCCCGTGACGCTGCCGAAGGCTAAATTGGCTGTTTCCATGTAAATATGAGGCTTGTGTGTGGTTTAATTACTATGGAGATGACTTAGGACCGAACGAAGCATCAGGGAGGAGAGCTGGAAGCAGACTGGGAATAAGCTTCCTTTATTCTTCTCTCTGTCTTTCAGGGGAAGAGAAATAAACCAGGAGTGGAGTCCGTCGGGTCTCCCGATTCAGGAAGAGGAAGAGGAGAGAAAAAAGCCATCAAGTAGGTGCAGGGACATTTGTTTCGTTCAGTGGGGTGTTTTGTAAGATCGTTGTGTTGGAGTGAAGCCTGAACATCCGAAATCAGCGCTGTGATCACAAGAAAACATCGCCGTTATCTCCACAGACCACAAACACGTGTGTTTTGAGCAGAGGAAATCATTTCAGAAGTTGTTAAAGCAGTGGCGGTCCGCAGAGACTTTTGGAATAACAATGACAGCAGTTCAGTACAGCAGCGCTGGAGCTCATACCCGCCCAAGGAGTTTGTACTAAACATTTCTCCTTATGCCCCTTACGGAGATCCACGCCTCACACTCAAGTGAGTCTCTGTTCAGGCTGGTAAGAGACACAAACCCCTGACCCACAGCTCATGACACACCCCAACCCAAACCCTCAGCAGTCACACCCTAGATCTGTGTTACCAGACCTTTAACTAGCAACACCAAGTCTGCTCCACTTTATTTGTTACTAGTCAAGAGCCGCCCACTTAGACAGCGTTGTTTGCTTTGTTTTTTACGTGCCGTTTATGTGGAATACGTGCTCCTGAAAATGATTCATATGGTCTATAACATGAAAGTTGCATCTTAGTTTTATTTTCAGAACTGAATGAGAAACAAATTAAAAATCAGTTTTTCGCTGATGCCGGGAAATAACTTTCTGCTGCACAATTGCTGTTTTCTTTCGCAGATTTTACAATGCACTAATTCAGCTCATTTTAGTTTCTGCATTTCAGTTGAGTAGGCTGCAATGTCAAAACTGTCAAGAGCTCATCCGTTAGTGTCTCATTATGTTTCGGTGTGCAGTGAGTTATATATTAATATAATTATTTTTTTAAATTAATTATTAAGTATTAATTATATAAAATTATACCTTTTATACATATTCAAATATTTTAAATATTACATATTTTGCTTAAATCAAATTATATTGTAAGCTATAATTATTTGTAACAAATTATATATATTAAGATGTATTATTTATTATATTTATTAAACATATATACATGTACATTTTATATATATATATAAAATATATACACATATATATAAATATATATATATTTGTATGTGTATGTATTTAATATTTTTAAAAAGTAATAATAATTTAATATTTTACTTTAAAAAATGTACTATATTATATATATATACACACACACACACACGCGCGTGCGCGCAGACACACACATACATACATATATAAGCTGTCCCACGTCAAGCCAATCAAATGCATTGAAACAACCAATATTCTGTTAGTATTTGTTGTTTTTTGTGTGATATGTGTCAGGCGGTCAGGCTAAAACTAACCTCCCCCAACACAACCTTTACCCCACACACTGTGCCCCATCTCATCCGTTACCCAACCTCACCCCAATAACCACAACCACACCCTGATCACTGGCAGGGCTGTAATGATGAGGAAGCATCCCATAATCCAACACACTTTTCCAAAAGGATGTGGCAAAGAACTCATAATGCCAAACTCATACTGACTGTGCCTGCTTGTCTGTTTGTGCTGTGAATAATACAGTATCATTACACCAACCGAGATAAGACACATAAAGCCAAAATGCTTTGAAGGTGAAGTGTGTAATTTCGTCTCCTAGGTGTGTATGTATATATATATATATATATAATTAGTTTAATATTATATTATGGGTTTGTAATATTAAGAAATAATATTATTTAATTTTAAATAGCTGTCCTTACTGATATTTGTCAGCCTATTTTTAGATTTAAAAGTACTCATTTCATGTAGAGTGCTTGTTATTTTTTTGGTAACATTTCAAAAGGAATATTTATCATCTTTCATACTCTATATTATAATATTTTTTTTATGTTGTAGCATAGCAACTGTTTAATTTATTTATTTATTTTAACAAAAAAGTTTAGATTTATAATATTGGTAATTTATTGGTTATCTGCTTTAAAATGGAAATAATTATTTATTATTTATTAAAATGTTGAATTTACTTTTATTTTAATATTTTCAGTTTACATTTTAATTTTAGTTTGTTATGTGCTATTGTCATTTTATTAATTTTGTATTTCAATTTAGATAGTAATTTTAGTACTTGTGCTTATTTTTGTTTTTTTATTTCATTTTATTTATTTTTTTTGCAATAGTTTATTTCACATATTTATTTCGATATTTCTTGTTTTAGTTTAAGTTTACGTTTTTCATCTAGTATTTATATTTTGCTTGATTTCAGCTTTATTTCAGTTAACGTAAATGATTTTTAATAGTTTTAATAGTATCGGCTCCCCTAGTGGCACCAAACAGAATCTCGCATTGCGGAAATTGCACACTTCATGTTTAAGTTCGTAATATGAATGAAAGTCATTATGCAGATTTTATTCTTTAATGCCAGATTGATGTTCTGTACGCTTTGCAGGACTGCAGGGACATTATCAATGTATAGCACGGTTAGCCTCAAAATTCCACACCAGATGTGCAGATATTCTTCTTCAAATCCATTTAGTATTTAGACAGTAAATGTCCCTCACTCCCTACAGCCCTGCTTCCTCTTCCTAGCTTATGACCTTTAACCTTTCACCCCCTCCCCTCCCTCCTCCTCCCCCCTCCCCCCATGGGGTGTTACCATGGAGACGGACAACCCTCCTGCTTCAGCTATCCAGCAAACAGCAACAATAACAGTAAACAAACAAACAAACAAAAATTGCATCAATGGTGTGTAACCCTCCTTGCCGTACGCTCCCGTTGAGGGTTGACCGTTACAGTCTGATTGTGGTGTGGTAACCCCCGTTTCACCTTGTTTTGAGACGGTGTTGTTTTGCCTCTGTGCTCTCTGCCTCTCACCTTTCTCGGGCTCGATGTGTCCCTCTAGCAGTCCTGATTCTTCCAGCCTCTGTTTGGCAGCGGTAAACCCTCGCCGGCCTAATCCAGACAGGTTTCGCCCACCGCTTCCCATAAAGAGCGAAATGGTTTAAACACGCTTGTCCATCAAATCCAGCGGCAGATGCACGGAGGGTTCAGATGGGGCGGCCGGTCTAGAAAATGAAAAATTAAATTAACATGTTAGCCGCGGAGGCTCAGGTGATTCAATTTTCCTGCCTCTGGACCGGTGAGGACCTGCTGGATTAAACGGTGTGGGGTGTTTGCAGACCGCTGCACTGAAGCTCTGCTATTTGAGACGGAAGCCGCAGAATGAAACAAAACCGACCTGGAACAGCCGCTTTGTCGCACATGTAGTCTAGTTTGCCGTATTTAATCCTGATTTAGACTTTAGAACCTCAATAGAAATCAATGATTGTAGGAGATTGTGATTTTACATCCATTGGATGTCTTCTGCATTTGGTTCAGTGATCTCAACCTATTAGATACGTTTATTAGATCAAAGTGTTTATATCAATGTAATATAACAGTTTGTATATCAATTATATTGTGATCCTTTGGTAGATGTTCGTATTTTGGGATGCACAATATATCAGTCATTGGCTAATATTTGAGATTTTTTTTTAAAAAAATTTGTATTATAAATTAAAATGTCAATATTTACTTTTTATTTATAATAAAAAGTAATTAAAAAAAGGAAATATTGGCTGCTTTTGTATATTTAATTGTGCAAACTCATTTCGCCTTTTTACATTTGTTTTCATCTATCACTATTAATTACACTAATAATTTTATAATAATGCAAATCTCAAAATTATTAACCATTTTTCTTACTGTACAAAATAATGTTGCGATGCATAAATTCACTTGTAGCATTTAAAACAATCGATTTTAATTTGTTTATTTAGACAACTTAGTATAGAATTTTAATATCAGCTTTTTATCAGTTATTGGCCATAACATGAAAGTAAATATTGTCATATTGTTTTCTGCCAGAATTGTAATGAAGGTGCATCCCTGGTAAATATCTAAATTATTGTTATTGTTATTATTATTACTACTGCCATCATCAGATTTATTAGTTGTTGTCCATAACACAAAAATAATTATTGGTTTATCAGATAAAAAATATTATTTTTATATTTTAATTTTTAATATATATATATATATATATACACACACACATATATGTGTATATATGCATATACACTGTATGTTATTATTATTGTTATTATTAAATATTACTATGTATATATTTTTATTTTAAGTGTGAAATCAGATCCCTCACCTTGGTTTTGTGGCAATCTGCGGCTCCCGGCTTTGTCACATAAAGCTCTTTTTGCTGTTCTCCTGTCGTTTTTGTTGGTGTTGATGTTGCATTGTGAGTGTTTGAGCGGTGAGTGTTATAAATCTCTTAATAACTGCATGATGACTTTCACCAGGTCCACAAACCGGTGACCATGATTATAAATATTGATGGCAAAAGTAACCCCTGTCAGATTTTATGTGTCTATGTGAAGTCTGCAACATTTATGGGTGTCATTAATGCGAAGCATGTCACTGGGAGTACAAATGTGGTTATCTGAAGCATCGTGGTTGTTAAGTCCATTTGTACGCCAAAAACACCAATTTATTATTAGCTTATTAGTAGTGGCAGAAGCTGCTTTAGATTCTTAAAATGTTCTTCACACTAAGAAAACAATGGTTCTTTGGGGAACCAGAAATTGTTCTTCTATGGCTGTATTTTTATTTATTTTTTATATTTATTCTTAAAATGCTCAAAAATGGTTCTTCTACACTCTTAAAAATAAAGGTTCCAAAAGTGTTTGTTTTCCACAGAAGAAATATCCCATGTTCCATGGATGTTAAAGGTTCTTCATGGAACCATCAATACCCATAAAGAACCTTTATTTTTAAGAGTACACTCTTAAAAATAAAGGTTCTTTATTGCTGTGAAAAAAACTAAACAAGATTTGGAACCTTTATTTTTAAGAGAAATTACTTGCTATACCTGATAAAACTAGGCTCTGTTACGCCCCCTAGAGGAGAAGCTGCACTTGATGAATCCCAGGGTGACTTGTGTTAGTATGTAGTCATGTAGTTCGCTGTGAGGTCACACATGCAACACTCTCATGGGGAAAATGATTGTGATTTATCCAAACCTGTAACCATTTCTTCTCTCCCAATGTTTGTCTTTTTCCTTTTCTCTCGTTCCTTCCGTCTCTCCGGCTCTCTTTCTGGCGGCTCCCTCAGTGGGACGGTGCCCGGGGGCCAGAAAGGGGCCATGGGGGGTGGATTGGGGGATGGAGGGGGGCCGTCGCACAGCGACAGTGTGAGGAGCATGATGACGGGGGGCATTAAAGCCGGCAGGTGGCAGACGGTACAAAGCCGCCTGCATTCGGGAGACTTCAAGAACGGCAAGTGAGTCGAGCCCACAGGGGACAAGAAAGAGAGATGTGATGTGTGTGTGTGAGATGTTTAAGAACGTTAAAAATGCTTTTGTGTGGGTCTGTGCTTTGCTGAGATTTCAGGCCGCCCTGCAGTCTAATAATAGCAGGATCCGTACTGACTCACACACACTTAGAAACACTCAGAAGCGGTGATAGCTAATTTCAGTCCATTATAAAACACAACAGCCACAGCAATGACTCAAAAGGCGGCATAACTGGTGATATCATGCACCTGATTGAGTCTGCAAATGCGATATGTGAGGGATAATAAATATAATCGCAAAAGCCGAAGGGTCTTGTATTGGCCTGAAGTGGGTAAAATTTGCAATAAAGACCGGCTGACTGTACAATCTGGCGTATTATACAGCAAACAAATGGACAGGAAATATCGATTTTATTGAGATTTAAGTAGACATATTCAGCTCAATTGTTTTCAACATAGTAATAATAATAATAAATGTTTCTTAAGCAGCAAATCAGCATTTCTGAAGGCTCATGTGACACTGAAGACTGTTGTAATGATGCTGAAAATTCAGCTTTGATCACAGAAATAAATTACATTTTACAATATAAGGGGGGGGGGGGGGGGTAAGTTTTGGTAAGTTTTAGTTACTTATATTTCTTTTTTTTGCTTTTTGCTTATAGTCAATCTAGATACATTTATATTGTCTATTTTTTCATTCACCAACAATTTATTTTATGAATGGAAATGTATTTTCCTGCCCATTAAATGTTTTAATATATTTTAGCATTTAAAGGTTTACAAGAAATATATATTTTAATAATAATTATATAATATACTGTATATGGTCCATTTTTGTTTATTGTATATTTATATACACGTACAGTATATTGTCTATTTATTGCATTGTGGCCTTTAATGGTTTAAAAATATATTCTTTAATATTTGAAAAACATTTTATTAAGCCATGCTGTTTACAAAAACAGCATTTTACATTTCCCAAAACATTTATTTTATGATTGGAAATTTATTTTCTTGGCCCTTAAAGTACATTACGTAATGTATTTTTTAAAAGTTTAAAATAAATATATTTTGTATCTGAAAAACTTATTTCATTTAGTCTTGCTGTTTACAACACATTTAGCTCATATTTGAAATCTGGCCAGAATTTTATTTATTTATTAAATTTTTTTGCCATATGGGTTATTTTATTCATCAGATTTGTGAACTGGATTGTGAAAAACAGCCATTAAACAACAGAATTTAATGAATTGTGCAAAATAATACCAGCTACATACTAAGCAAGTTAGCTGGGACAATTTTGATTTCATGTTGACTATAACAAGACTAATAAAGAAAACCCACCAAGGGAATAAACAAATGAATTAGGCAAGGCATGAATAATGAACCAAACCTCACAAAAGACCTCCAAAACACAATCTCACCAAACCAAAACAAACCAAGAGCTGCTACGACGTTACTGTATCCATGTGCCGCTTGTGTGTAGACGTTCACACAGCAAGTGTTGCGCACACATACACACAGGGGGCTCAATTTAAGTTTTCTTCACACTCTTCGCTAACACCTCTTCTCCTCCAGCACCTCACATATTCTCTCTTCTCACACTCCATCCATACCACCAGTCCTCGTTCTTCTCTCGTTCTCTCTCTCAACACGCCCTCCGTTTTTCTCCGTCAGTAATTGGATTCTATTTTCAGGCAGCTATATGTGTCTGTCTCTTGTGTTTGTGTCTCACACCCCCTTTTTATGGTCTCTCTCTTTCTTGCCTACATCTTGTTCTCCACTATGCTTGTTTTGCCCCCTGGTGTTTGTCCTGCAACTACCTGATGCCCTTTACCAGCTTAACCAGTTGAGCCGATGCCTATTAAGCCATATGCCATCGCATTAATGTCACCATGAAATCAAATTTGGCCCTGTTTACTTTAATAATACATGTTCTTGGTCCTACTGTGAAGGATGAAAGAAAAATGTTAATATTAACTAGTAGTCAAATATGAAAAAAGGCTACTGTTACGTGTAATAGTTTTAGGAGTAGGTTCAGGGTTAGTACCAAGTTATTACCAGGTTATTGTAATTACTATAATAAGTACATAGTATGTACACACGGAACAGGACTGTTAAATAAAGCGCTTAAGGTTTGTGCGACAGCTACATTTCATGTAGAAAGCATCAAATATACACCTAATGTGCATCCTTTGCTCTTTATTACGATGCAGAACCATTAAAAATATCTCCTGTGAAGTGAAAAGTGAGAAATTCTCAAATGTGTCTGTTTTTGCAACCAGAATCGCTTGTACGTCACATTGTATTTGAAGGCAGCATTTCCTTATTAAATACCCTGTTTCACATAAAAGTATGTCACATTACAGAAGTAAAATGGGATGTGAATGCCTTTTCATACTGATTTTAATATTAGGATGGTTTTCCTCCACTGGAGCAAGTTTATGTATGCCCCATAAACTTTGTATTAAATTCAGCTTTAAATAACTTTGAAATTTGTTTAATGATTTATTTAAAATGTTCACTGATAGGCACTGTCAGAAAAAAATGTCAAAAATCATATCTTTAGGGGTATATCAGCTTGACACTTGTCACCTATCTAGTACTCTAAAGTAATAGTATTAACCTATTAGGGGTAAATAAAGTTCAAAGATGTCCCTGTAAGGAAGGGGTGTCAAAATCTGCCCCTGGAGGACCAGTGTCCTGCTGAGTTCAGCTCTAACTTGCCCCAATACACCTGGTTGGAGTTTCGAGTATGCCTTGACAGTGGCCCTCCAGGAGCGGTACCCTGCTTTGAGGATACTGCCCCAGTGACAAGTTGTTGTACCGTAAAGGGTAACATTTTTGCACATTTTGTCTGAGATAGAATAGCCAGGGAGTGTTTACAGGAACCATGTTTGCAGCTCAGGTGAAACTCATTATGAAGTTTCTGAGGTGAATTTGACACAGTTTTGAGATCAGAGTGAAACAGGGCTAATGAGAGAAAAAGAGGGATGTAATTTCGAAAGGGAGGGGAGGACAAAAGAATGACGGATGAGCTAGTGTAGTTGGTTGGCTGCTGAATGGACACAGGGGGCCGTGGCTTTACTTAAAACGAGTGTCGCAAGAAACGACGGGCAAAGTTAAGAGAAGAAAGGGAAGAGAAGGATGTGTGAAGATTAGACAGAGATGGGAGGCTCTCAACAGACCAAAAAACAATCTCCCGGAAGAACCGGTGGCGGGCGATTGACGCCACACACGCCGCGGCACGCACATGCGCACGGCCGTTCAGGGCAGACCCGACACACGCCGCGATCCAGTCAGGCACGCACGGGAGCGGGCCGCAAACTGGCTGCACACACCTCCCAGACGCACACGCACGCTCACCGCTCACTGTCGGCTCAAGGCAGTCTCACTCGGGCCGGGAACGGACACACGCACGCACATTCGCAGGCTCATGCAGACCAGGGTGGCTGTGGTCTCTTCTGCTACCTGTGTTATGGTGGATACTGCCTCTGTTTGACGCTTCTCTCCTTTTTTCTCCTTCTTCTCCTCTCCCCACCTACATCTCGCCCTCCTCCTCCTCCTGCTCCTCTGCCCCCTTCTTCTTTTGATGACACCATCTTTTCGTTGTCCTTTTCCTCTCTGGCTGTTCCGTTCTGCCCCCATCCTTCCCTGAACCTCTCGTTCTCCTCTATGTCTCCATTATGGCCTCTCCTGTCTTCGTCCGACTCCCTGACTCTCCTTCACCCGGATTCCGAACTCTTTCCTTTCAACCTGTCGTCTCCTCTTCCTCTATGCCCATCTGTGTCCCCTGCTCCTCCTCCGATCCCTTCCAAATCCTCCTCGGATCCTTCTCCTCGTCCCCGCCCTTTTGTTCTTGTCCCACCTTCTCTCCTCCTTCTTCCTCGTCCCTCCCTCTGTCGCTCCCACCCTTCTTCGTCTCGCTCCTTGCCCTCCCTCCTGCTCTGCCCGCACAGTTTGTCTGACCACGCCCTCTCCTCGGACGAGACCTTGGACAACATCCCGTCGACAGGGGCAACACCTCGGCCCCGCACATTGCTGCGTCAGCAGAGCCTCCAGCAACCATTGATCCAGGCTCCGGCCCCATGTTTGGCCAGTAGGCCGCCCATCTCCCAGAGTCTGGGTCAGTTGCACACCCAGCCAGGTAGCGGAGGGGGTGGGGGTGCGGGGCCTGGGAGAGGAGGCGGGGCCAGCTCAAGGAACTCCAGGGGCGGCCCGGCAGGTGGCGGAGCTTCACGCTGTAAGTCAGGAGGTGCCGGGGGGCGGGCCTCTCATGGGAACCCTGGCAGCGTGGATCACATGATGGGTCAGATAAAGAGACGAGGCCTGGATGTTAAATCCTTCCTGTAAGTCACTTCCTGTGTGGGTCTGTCTTGTGCATGCCTTTTTGTCCTGTATTTGCATGTATTCCTAACTTTTTCAGACTTGTCTAAGTAATTTCCCAATTAGAGATAGTTCACCCAAAAATGACAATTCTGACATCATTTATTCACCTTCAAGTCGTTCCAAACCCATATGACGTCTTTCTTCAGTAGAACAGAAAAAGAGAAGTTTATCGGAATGATCACGCTGCTCTTTTCCATTAAATTGAATGCATACAGTGGCTTTGGCCTGTAAAGCTACAAAAAAATGACAAAAGAAGCATAACATGGTTTTCCAAATCTGTTTTTCTTATGCTGTTTTCCAAATCTTTTGAAGCGTAATGATAACTTTGTGTCTGGAGCAGACCAAATATAAGTCATATTTGATACAAAGGTTTGCCACAACTCATTTGCATTCTTGTATTCAAATATACCATATCAAGACATATCTCACCGATTTCATATCATTACTTAGATTTTAGTCTGTTCTTTGTATAGATACTTTATATATATCACACAAGTCGTATGGACTACTTTTATAGTGCCTTTTGTCCTTTTTAAAGCTCAAAAGTATCCATCGTCATTCATTTTCATTGGAAAAGGAAAAGAACAATGGCAAATCATCATTCTTCAAAACATCTGATTTTGTATTCCACAAAAGAAATCAATACAATTTTTGCACATTTTTATGAGAGCTTGTGCATTATTTGAGAAATAACTCAAATGACTGCATCAGTCCCCTTTCTCTGGGATGCGTTATAAATACTAGTCCTGCTTTAGTACTGGTAATAATAGAGCAAATAAAAGTGTAAATCTCCAAGAGTTCAGCTGAAAATGATCTGCGTGCCTCTTCTTGTTTGTCCTTGCCTCTGTTCCTGCACCTCTGTCTCTCTTTCTCTACACCTGTCTGTCTCCAGACCCTGTCAGACAGTCGTTCATTCTGTCACACTATATTTCAGCCCCGCAGCAGAATATCTCCCCCTTCCCTCAGCACTCTGCACTGATCTGCTGTTTCGTGATGTTCTGTTTTATATGACTGAATATTGCCTTGTGTGCAGCCTGCCTAAGCTGGTTTAAATATGTCACATTTTAGGACCTCAGGGGACCGCTGGAGATATGGTACCAGGACTAATTTTATATTTGTGTGTCAGCACATGCGTTTTTGTTTGGGCATGTGTTTGCGTGTGTGAGTGTGTTCTTGAATGTTTAATGTGTTTCTTCTGTGTTTAAAGGGACAGTTCACTCCAAAATTATAATTCTGTTTTTTTCCCTTATGTACAGTAATTCCACAACAATTTGTCTTTCTTCTTTCGAAACACCATAAAAGTAGTCCATACAACTTGTGCACTATATTCAAAGTCTTCTGAAGTCATATTAATACTTCTAAAAACTTGAAATATTGTGGATTACCTCTTTTAGGGTGATTTTTGTAGTTTTTGAAGATTTATAGGTCACTATGTGACTTCATTTTATGGGAAAGAAGCTTGCTGATATTTTTAAATGTCTTATTTTTTGTTTCATGGAGGAAAAACATAATATGGTGTTTAGAATGGCATGAGAGTGAGTAAATGGTGGCAAAATATAAATTTTTTGGGTCAACCATAACCTTCGTTACACTTAAGCTTGGTCTTTTGTTTTCAAACAGGGCCGTTTATTCGAAGTCTGAAACATAATGCCCTAAAATAGCCGTGACTTACTGAGCGAACAGGACTGCAGACTATCAACCGACCATAGCATAACATAACATAACAACTGCTTGACAGGGGCTACAGGTCTTCAATAGGCTGGGTTTATGTGACAGCTTTTAACTCCGTCTCTGTAAATCTCTCCGCCTGCCACTGTGTGACCTGTGGAGGAAGGGAGGGCAGGTCTCAGCTCAAATGACAAACAATTAACGCGACTGAACATCATCTAATTTCCCAAGATTATCCACACGTGAACACACAGCAAATCGGCGTGATTGATGGATTTCATGGTTCTCAAGTGATGTAACATGGTTGAATTTGTAAGCCTGCCTCAGTTGCGCGTACGCGACGTTTGGCTCTGTTGTGACGCAGTTAATTGAATTATAATAGATGCTTTCCTGAACGGGGTCGGTGCGAGAGAAGGCCTGTAATTTTCACATTTAAGCGCAGTGATTCAGTGATGAATAGCTAGGTGTCTTCACACGCTGCTAGGTCAACAGCTTTTTATGACATGTTTGAAAAAGACTTTCTAGTGAAAGGCCGCTGGATATTTTCTACAAATGCCATTAACCCGTGCCACATGATATTTACACGCTCATTTTTCAGATGCACGTCTTGTATTTGATATGTATTCTTCATTCTTCATCCTGCTCTTAATCATCTTCTCGTTTTCTAGTTCTGTCCAGTGATTAAAGGAGTAGTTAGTGTTATTTTCGTATTATTTATATACTATTATAGTATTTATTAATATTTTTAATGAGCTTTTATTTATATTTTCAGTTTTAATTTTAGTTTAGTTTCAAACTTGTATGATGTTGATGCTGTTCTTTGGACAAAATGGACCAAATAAAAGTACTACCAAAGTAGTCAAAAGAGTTCATATAATTTACAAGTACACAAGTTGTATGGACAGTTTTATGTACTTTAAATGTGCTTCTCTGCCTTTGGAGATGTACTGATTTATATAATAGTGTATTAGGAAAAAGCCTGTCAATGGGGTTTGTAACATTATGATGAGTACCTTTTTGGGTGAACTATTCCATTAAATGTGTATGTTTGGTTATACGTGTTTATTTGCACAGTTTATTTGTATGCAGGCAGGTGTTGAGGTTAAAGTCTTCGCTACAGATTCACATTAACCCTGAAGCATTGGTTTTCTGTCCTCCGAATCATTTCTCTCAAAATGGATTGTTACCCCTGGACAGAGAAAGAAATAAGAAAGTGGGTAAATCGAAGTCTACATTAACCCTGAAGCATTGGTTTTCTGTCCTCCGAATCATTTCTTTCAAAATGGATTGTTACCCCTGGACAGAGAAAGAAATAAGAAAGTGGGTAAATCGAAGTCTGAGTCAAGCTTTAGAAACACATGCTACCATACTATTGATGCAGTTTGCAGTATAGATACTCTGCACAGTATGCAGATTTTCTGTATGCATTTAATACTCAGATGACCTACAGCATTTGTCCTTGCATGTCCATTATTGATAACTGGAACATTTCCAGTATTGATTGAACAATGTGCAGTATGCATTGTTACAAAGTATGCTACACTGTAATTACATGAAATGACTATGTTGTATGTTTAATTTAGCATCTGGTTAATTTAGCCAGATTATTTCACTATTTTACCAGTTTTATGCCAAATTTTGTTGGTTTGATCAAATAACAAGGTTTTTGCAGACTCTTAAAAAGGTCTTAAAGTCTAAATCCACCCTTCCACAAATTAAGGCCTTAAAAAGGTCTTAAATCAAGGCAAGGCAAGTCTTGGTAACACTTCATAATTAGGTTAACATTAGTTAACTACTTTAGTTCACATGAACTAAGCATGAACAATACTTCTACAGCATTTATTAATCTTAGTTCATGTTAATTTCAACATTTACTAATGCATTATTAAAATCAAAAGTTGTGCTTGTTCACATTAGTTAATGCACTGTGAATTAACATGAACTAACAATGAAGTTTCATCAACTAACATTAACAAAGATTAATAAATACTGTAATAAATGTATTGTTCATTGTTTGTTCGTGTTAATTAATACATTAACTAACATTAACTAATGGAACCTTATTGTAAAGTGTTACCAATGTCTTAAATACATAAAGTCATGGCAATAAATGTTGCATACGCTGCACAAAAAAAAACAAATTCAAAAGTATTTTTGTATGGTTTTGCAGTATGCATTACTAAACTTCTTTAAGTCAAGATACAGTTAAATACTAGTTGAGAAATACTAGTTGAAAAGCAAAATGAAGATATGAAGTCTTGTTTTCTGAGAACTGAACAAAATAGAGCAAGTTTGTGCTTAAAACAATAACTAATATCTGTCGACAAGGAATAAAAACTTGTTTTGCCTTTGAATTAAGTAGATTTTTCTGCGCTCATTTGTTCATTTTATTCATAAACTCATTGATCAATTTCTCAGAAAACAAGACTTCTTGTCTTATGTCAAGTTAATGTATCTTGAGAGAAGAATATTTGACATTTGTATTGGAAAACAAGTATAAAAATGCAAAAGAAAGGACATTTTATATGCTTTATATGCAAACATAAGCTTTTGTTTGTTTTGGTAAAATGAATCAAAAAGTGATGGAGATCTGTTGGAAAATGTATTTTCAAGTTGCTAATATAACTTGTGTGCGCCATAGATATGAATTATTTAGAGACCATATTGACATATTGTGTTCTCTTTAATTTATTCCTTAAATTTTCTTGGATTTACCTGCAGAAACTCTAAAATAATGCCCTAGAGAAAGAGACGAAATAGGGTCGATAATATTGCTTTGAGTTCAAAATGTAAAGTCAAATGCATTGCATTCTGAAATACAGTAGTCCTTGATGTTTGCATACTGTACATTTGGGCAAATGCAGTAAATAATTTCAGAGAATTCATGAACTGTGAACAATATGCATACTGCAAAAATAGAATGGAAGTATGCAATTCCCAAAACATCCTTGTTCCGCTTATGCTGGGAAGACTAAATATTTCATCTCCGCTGGTTAAAGGGGGATGTCATTGACACACATACACGGCCTTGGGTCTGACATAGAGACAGAGAAAAGGAGAACAAGAAAGGGAGGACGAAGACAGAAAGAGAGGAAGGGGGAGGTGGGGTGTAATTGAGGGTTGTTGGTGTGTTATCGGTGGTCTGCGTCAGTCCTGTGAACATCCCCGAACATTCACCCATCCAGCTCTCACCGGAAAAGTGCCTCCTTTTATTGCTTTGACAATAATGATTCCTGTCTGTTGCGCGCACGAGTGTGTGTCGTATGTGTGCGAGTGTGTAGTCGCACCAGCCAGGAGCTATTTTTTGCAGCCATTAAATTCTGAAAGGTAAAAATAGCCACAGTGTGCCAAAATGGAGGGAAGCCCAGGAGAATATGAAGGAACGGATGGATTTACAGCAGGAGAGAGAAGAAAAATGGAAGATGGAGAAGTGGAGGGGGGAGGGATGAAGAGTATTAAAACCACTTTAGATGGGAGGAGAAGGAAAGGAAGTGAAGAACAAGAGATCATAATACCATATGACAAGGTTAGAAATGAAAGGAATAGCTCGGCTGAAAATGAATTTACTTCACATTCATGTTGTTTCAAACCTGTGTGCTGTTATTTATTTATTTATTTCTTTTTGTGGAAAATAAAAGGAGATATTTTGAAGAATGTACACCATAGGGATGTTAAAAATTTGGCCTGAACAAATTTTCAGAAATAAGGTAGTTAATTAATTTAAAATAAAACGCTATAAACTAAAATGAGTTGTTTTAAATTTTAAAAACAAATGTAAGTATCACAACAACATAATATGAATACTAGTATAATATAGAGTAGCATAACATAAAAGCTTAGTACTCTTTGAGATGAGATTTAATAATGTTAAGGATTTAAAGATTCTAATACTTAATTTACGAGATGAAGACAAAATATATAAAATAATAATATACTGCATATCCACATTTAATACATTTTATATATAAGTTTTTTATATATAAAAAACAATATAGTTATATATATAAACAATATAGTTATTTTAAATATACATTTTATATTTATTTATATATAAGTTAATTATTGTATATATGTATATTTAAAATATTTATTGTATTTATTATATATATATTATATATATATATATATATATATCATTTTTTTTAACGTTTTATTTGAAATAATGCTGAAATAAATTGAATATTTAATTAAACTTAAACTAAACAGAAATGTTGTCCAACTTAAGTTTAAGTTGAAGAACTAAATTTAATAACAACTTAAATTACACTTAAGTAGTAATATTTAAAAAATGAAAAGAAAAAATGCCTAAACTGAAAATATGAAAATAAAGCCTAATTAAAAATATAAATTACAAAATATTAAATAATAAATAATCTAATAATAAAAATAATAATAATGCTAATGCTAAAATACAAGTAAGTTTGTGTGTAAAACTAAAATTAAATATTGGTTTATAACAACATGCGATTGGTAAACC